TCTCAATCTTAGGCATTTGGCATTCATGAAATCTTGCCTATAACAACTGCAGACGCCTGGTGACCCCCAGGCCTCCTCCTTCCAACCAAAGAGTAGGGTCCTCAGCTTCCCAAGCCCCAAAGCTGATTGCCCCAAAGCTGATTAGTGTGGGAATTCACCTGCTCGACCTCTCCAGGTGCCAGGACAGGCCACTAACCTCAGGACCAAAATTTCAGGTAGCCATTCAGAGTCAAGCATAGTTGAACGATATTTATAAAAAAGAGGAATGAATATAAAGTATTATAACACGAATCAAGGATTTCTGCCCAAGAATTTTTTGTTAATCTATACTTTTGAAATTACTCTGCCTATTAAGTTTTTTCAATTTCTTAATGAAAATTTATTCTATAAAGCCCAAACAGAATTTGGTTTTAGTGACTGCTGGTTCTGAAATGATTCTTATTGGATCTTCATAAGATGGCTCCATTAATTTTGCTTAGAATTGAGACTTACCAGCCTTTGCTAAATCCTTTACACTTTTCAAATACCTGCAAAGTTACAGTTGTGCTAGCACAGTGAACATAGATTTACTGAGCACCTATTATGTACGTAGCAGGGCCCATTCTGAACACTGGAGATAAAACCTTGAAAAAGACAATATATTCCATTGCTTATATTCTAGAATAGAAGTTCCCCAGACTTCTGGATTTTACACACTAATACAACAGCCAGAAAAGCTGGGAGGTTAATATATTTATTTCGCTAATCTAAGGACACTGAAAATAACTATTATCTCCTCTCATCATCACATATTTTGGACCAAAAGGCTAAAGGATGTACTCTAAGAACAATGGACAGTTCTTACATTGAATACATTGAGCTCTATAAAATCTTAATCTATAATACTGTCCTTCTCTTTCTCATTTTTGCTATGGGCTGGTGGAAATCCTGGCACAGAATGGACTTGCCCTTGTTCAAGGGAGTAACTACTGAGAGGCCCTTTGGTATGGGGCCCCATCTAAGAATCCTCTTTGTCTACTGTGCAAACAACAGGGTAAAGAGGCTCCTTAAAATCTAAACTTGTTTTCACTGCACCTCATTTTAAAGTTTCAAGAGTTTATGGACAGGCTAGCCTGGGCCCAAGGTTGATATTAATAAACGCTCTGGCAGCCTCCAGGTCAGGAACTGGAGGTCAGAGGGTTCATGGTAATGAAAGGGATTTACACCAGAGGACCACAGTATCCTTGTAGAGCAGATTACAGCTCATGCCAGCTTAGTGCATGATCAATAATATTAAAGGTTTTGAACCAGCAAGATTTTTTCTGAGGGGAAAGAGAGCAAAAGTGAAGGATCAGTTGTCAATTAAAAAAAAAAAAAATGCTTGTATGAATGCTCATACTATCTCCCTAGAAACGTCTAGCAGGGTACTTGTTTTCTACTAAAAACACTCCCATGGAATTATAATTGCAAGAAAAATACTCTTCCAGGGTGGGGGCTGGAGAGCAGATGACAGCAACATAAAGAGAATTCTTTGGAAGACAATCAGAGCATAGTTGTCAACCACAGACCCAAGAGGAAGTTTCTGTTAGAATTACTCAGAATTAATGACCACCAGTTAAGAATTGTCAGAATATGTGGCAAAACAATCTATAAGAAAGAATCATTTCTCCCTTGCTGAAATCTTCCTCAGCATGGGTTCGTGTTTGTATGCACACTAGAGGCCTGGTGCACGATCAGGCTGGGAAGAGGCCACAGGAGGGAGGGCTCCAGGTATGTCTGGCCTGTCTGGCCCAGTCCCAATCAGCCGGACCCCAGCAACAAGCTAACTTACTGGTCAGCTCATGTCATAGCGACTGGTCAAGCAGTCACTTAGCATATTAGGCTTTTATTAGGATAGGATTACTTTACTGACAGTTTCTACAGCCTTAACTCCTAACTGTTAAAATACATCCCAACAAACTAATTTAGCCAGATTATTCCTTCCAATGAGTGAGTAGTAAAGTTGTACTTCATATTCCAAGTAAGCATCTGTTTTCTGAACTATTTACATGCAACTGGGAGAAATTTATGAAATACTGTCTTGATAAATTATTCATCTGACATGTGGGATCAAGAAAGTGCTCCTGTTTGACTATAACCAAAATACATTTTTCAAAATAAGCTGCCTAAATAAAATACAGTATATTATAGAGTAAAAGACACAAAAAATTAGTTACTGAGCTCTGAAATACTCAGGATAGTAAGTAAATTTCTTGCCTGCTAAGGTTTTGAGGTCCAGATAATGTTAACTAATGAAGCAGGCACCATCTTTTCAGCATGAGGTCCCTGTGGTAAGCCTTGAAACACTGAACACAGCCACTGTTTAGATTTCATCTGTACTGGGGCTCTCATTAAAAAATAAAGCTACTGGAAGATTGTATACAGGAACTGAACTCATTTACAGATATGGCTGCCTGTGCGATAGGCCAGTTCTTTATTGGAGATGCAGATCACGTTTGAAGTAGCATCACACCTGAGAATACCACCATTGCATTAAGAGTGCCTGGACTGCTGGTGTGAATATTCAGAGCCACACTTAAGGGATTATTTGTTAATGCAAACTAATCATAGACCATCCATGTCTCTGTGATAATTTATAGCTGCAATTAAGTGGTTACTATGGCAAAACACTTTCCACATTTTATTTGCATATCAATTGCTATATCTGAATTTTAAGAGAGTTGCAGTTTTCTTCTAGATCTTCCAACTGATTCTTTAAAAATAGATCCCAAACCCTAGATTTACTTAAATTAATGCCTACTTGGTCCACTTGCTTTCAAACAGTACCTTTTTTATCTAATGACACAGTTGAGTTCTTCGCTATATATATATTTGCTTCCCTAGAGTACAATTTATGAAACAATGACTCTCTAATATGGGCCTGGGAGTGGAAGCTCAAAAAATTGTAGACCTCAGTCTATTGGTCTTTGCACTTAGTAGGTATCCCATAGAAACTCCTTGAGTTAAATTTTAATTCTAGCTGCCTTATAGCAGTTCTGCATTCTTTAGTTTTTACCAAGGGATTACTAAAGGTTGATGAATTATAATAGTAAATGTGCCATAATCAGTGCGTTCTTACACCAATTTAGACATGGAACTTTTAGAACTGATTTCTGGTGTAGTGTTATCTGCCTGGAGAGCCAGAAATCAAGAGCCTCATTTTGATGGTCAGAAGCTTCCAGTGCCTCTTTCTCAGAAGGAAAACCAGGGGATGCTCCCTATACTTTCCTCACGCATTTTCTTTGAGGATATTTTGAAGTTGGGCAACCAAGGTCTCACTACCTTCTCTGAGAAAGCCAGGGGGACTTTTCAGGTGTAAATTTATGGGGCAAGGTCCCTGTGGAAGTCAGGAATCTCTTCCCCTTTCTGGCTGCTTTTTAAGTGCTTTCAGTAGAAGAATAACATGTTATTGATGATCTCTTAATGAGCAATTACAAGATATGTAAGAATATTCCTTTATTATAGGATTAGTATAATATTCTCATCTCTCCCCATTTCATAGTGCCTGCCTGATCTGATTTTTTTGGCCTGGGAGTGAATGGGCAGGGCATGGGAGAAATCAGAATGGTTGCTGGGACCAGGTTGAGCTGTAGTTTACCCTGTGAAAAATGACAATTATAGAATATCAAGTCCTGGATAATGACCAGGTATATTTTATATGCTTATATCCATACTTCCACATACATTCCCATTTATGACAAAGCAGTTCCACAAGCAGCAAAGGCAAAACTCTCCTCTTCTGATTCTTACCCTTTTATTCCTTTCCCTTTCCCCTTTTCATAATGTCCTCCTTCATCCTCAATTATTGCTCACTTGCAATAAAGCTGAGTTTGCATACACCAAGTCTGAGCCGCCACAGCCGGGAGCAGTTCCCATGAGCACACCCTCTACCCCAGCCCAGCAGAGGCAGAGTTCAGCCCCCCAGCAATCTATCTGGTCAGACTGGTGGAGCAGCTTGTGAAGCAATCCTGCTGGACTGAGCTGGTTGTAGACAGATAGAGGGCTACAGAGAGTAGAGAGCGTGAGAGCCAGCCAGACACAAAGAAGCAAATAGGCCTAGGAGGGGAGACAGAAGACAGCAGGCTGCCAGGCCCAGCATCTCATGAGCTAGTTCAACCCTCATGGCAACCCCAGTGGAATAGGCCAAGCCAGCACAAGTGAGCCAAATCCTGAGCTCATTTTAATGGCTTCTGTCCCAAACCTGAGTCACTGGGGATTCCACGGATTTCAAGACAGCCCTTCATGCATTTCCAAAAACAAACTGCTTGATGCTGTCATGGAAAACCTGGATCTTTGCATTCTATGGTTTCACTATGGATTACATCCAGGTCACAACCTAAAGAAGACAGCTGGCAAATCACCCTGCTGGGCGATTACCCAGCTTTTGTAATGAATCCCAGAGGGCTATGAGCCGATGTGTGTTTCTGGCTCTGCCAAGTCCTGGACAAGTCCTCGCCAATGAAGACCAATCGGTCTGATTTATTCTGCGAGGGAAGCCTGAGAAGCCACCTGCAATCAAGACTCAGCTGCTAGACGCTGTTCCAGAAAGGAAAGGAATGGAGAATGTATATGTCAAGGGGAAGAGAAGTGAAAGAGGTTCTTTGCTTCCCTCTCAATTCAACTATCTTCAGCTTAAAAAAAAAAAAATTATCTGAGGACACCTTTAGTCACACCAAAGTCAGAGGACTGCTCTGTACTCTTCAGCCCTGACTCAGGCAGGCTTTTAAGGGGCCAGAGAATATACTATACAGTGGTTGATTTCAACAGAGCAAGGTCAATTATAAAGGCTTATTATAAAAGACACCCCTATTCCTTACAATGCAGCAATTCTAGGAAACATAAAAAATATAAACCTGCCAAGAACACAGAAATACTTTAAATTTAATAATCATATATATCTACACATTATTATGTGCCAAGCCCTGTATTTAAGCCTCTCTCATATATTATCTAATTCTCAAAACATTATACCCACTTTACAGGTGAGAAAACAGAAGCTTAGAGAGGTGAGGTCATTTGGGCAACGTCACAGCCACTTTAAGGTGAGATCAGGACTGATCCAGGACCATATGAGGCTTAGATTTTTAATTGCTACTAAGAGTAAGTATGGAACACCAAGGGCATTTATGCACAAGTACTTAGGAAGTGTCAGCTGGGTGTCCACATAATGGGACTTGAAGGTAAATCCTGTTATCTGGGTTAACTTAACAGTGAAGAGTGGTATTTATTATTTTATAAGTAACCCAAATCTTGAGATTTCCACTGAAGTAGAAGGTTCTTTCACACCAGCTTCTAAAGTCAAAATATCAAGATTATTTATGATGTTTTTTATAGACAACGAATGCTATAACACCTGGGGCCTATTCTTTAAAATTAGGTATAATAAAGGAATATTCTTACATATCTTATAATTACTCATCCAATTGTATTTTACAAAATTGCCATTGTTGCCAAAATGAAAGGTGCAAGAATAAACAGTCTGAATGTATTTCCAAAGAGTTACGCTGGCAACAGCCTCCTTCCTCACCATTTGTTTCGGTGTCAGATCCAGGCAGGGCTGAGAGAAAGCGGGCAAGAGGAGAAAAAAGACTGATGCTCACAGCTGCTGCAAGTGCTTGGCTGATGCTGGGGCTGACCACGTGCTGTTACAGATTGGCCAAGAGGAGAGAAAGCAAGTCAGCTGCTTCCGACACACTTTCTCAGCCACAGATCCAAGGACCATGGAAAACTGTCATTTATGTTGGCTTAACTGCCTGGTGTAGACCTTCCTGAGGGAAAAAAGCCCACCAAGCATCCCTTACAGATGCCTCTCACCCAACCCCAACACGAGGGAGTCGGCGGACTAGTCCTTCTTTCCCATGATTTCTTCTCAGAGGGATGCTGCTCAACTGGAAGGAGAAGAGCACAGCTTCCCCTGTATTTCTGTGTTTTGTCTTAGATCAGTGGGCCCTAGAGAGATAGTCTGACTACACAGGAATCTCTGCCTCCTGCCAATTTAAAATTTTTAGTAATTGCAAACTTAAGATCCTATGTGTATGCAGGGGGAACATAGCTGAGGCCTGATACACACAGTTGAGAGAGAGAGAGAGAAGAAAAAGGAGGAGGAGGAGGAAGAGGAGGTCAGAAATAACTCATTGGAGTATGTGAATAATAGCAAAGATATGTTCTAATCTTTGTGCCAAAACGAATGTTCTTGCCATTTATATGAAATAGCCAACAAGAGCACCAAAAATTTTGTTGGATTAGTTCACTTTATTAGAGACTGAATTCAATGGACTAAACACTGTATTAAAAACTGCATGCAAATAGTCTTTTAGACTGACGGTATCTGAAGTTGTTTCTGCAGGACTGTAAAAACAGGTATGGTGGTATAGCCCAAGAAGTCCCAGCCCTCACTGTAGACAGCCACTAATGTGCTGAAGATAACTGTTTCTCAGGATGAAAAGCATTCCTAGGGATGACAAACCCACTTCACCTGCATACCAGCATACTGATAAAGCTCACTGTAAATGCATGGAAAATTGCCTCTCTGGCCAACAGAACTCTTCAACAGGACTAGTAAGTTGTGTGCTGGCTTCCCTTCACCTGCATCTTCACACTGACTTCCTAAAAGCTTTTGGTAACACTTCTCAACAACAGTTTGAAGATATATACATGAAAATAAACACAAATCCTTGAGGCCCTGTGTGTCTGAAGGGAATAAAGATAAACTTCAAATCATAAGTGAATAAAAAAAGAGGACAAAGTTTCTTCTTCCCCTAACCAAAGCTGAAATCAAAAGTCTAAGAAAAACAAAAACAAAAAACTAAGGTAATGTCATATTTCCAAACTCCCTATTTTTCAGAAGAGGAACATAGAGAGGTGGTACACTTATTTCTGGGCCCATTACCCCCTACACACACACTCCTCCTAAGACTTGAAGAAGGAAAACATCAGCTGTTTTTTGGGGGAAAACCCTTTCGATCTGTTTACTTGGAAGCCAGCCTGCTGAGCTCAAGAGTGTGCTATAAGGCAGACTAGAGGGAATTCATTTAGGCTGTTTCCAGGCCTGGACACCAGGTCCAGAGCTTATCCTCACTGTCAAGGAGTTCTGTGCACACACTTTAGCATTTGCTGAGGGATGGATGAGTCATTCATCGTGCCCTTCAGTTAGGGTTGCAGGTGGATTGGCTGTTTCTCCTGTTAGAGTTCAGATTAATAAACAGCTTGGTTATGATTGTTGAAATGTTCATTTCTTTTCTGAAAACCAAAGCAAGAGTCTATCCCTCTGCTTCCTTGAGGATGTCTTCATTCTGCCCCGCATGAACGCATGTTTCTGCCATACAGAACGAGTCCCTTGAGCCCAAACTGATTCCCTCCCCTCTTGGTTCTGGATCCACCTTTCAAAGCCAGTGGCCAAGTCCATGAAAGAGCTGGTGGCCTTGGAAGTTCCTTGCAGCTCACAGCCTCCCTCTCTGTAAGGAGCTCATACTTTTCTTTCCACCGATTTATAACCAGCTCGTAAGTGAGAAAGCCCCAGAAAGTGGGAGTTAGTTTCTATTTTCTGATCTGTACAGAACACTTGCCAGGCTCCAGGAGACATACAATTTACACCAGCACACGAAACTCAGAGCAGCTGATACTAATTCCTTCCCAGCTCGCTGCTTCCCCTACCAAAGCTGACATCATCGGGGTTGGGCTGACAGTGGTGGCAACCAGCTCCCCTTCCTGCATGGACACCCCACATTCACACTCCTTCTCAGCCTAGAGTGCTTGCTGCAGGTGGGACCTAACTCCTCCATGGATTCATATGTAGAAAACATGCTTTTAATTTAATGGGAAAAGCAGAGTCGTCGTTTCTTCAACAAAACCCAACAACTTAGAACCCGAGGAAATAGCAATGACCAGGAACACGAGAGCAGAGGAGCAGACACTTCCCCCAAAGCGGGGAGTCAAACGGGGAAAGGGGTGACCAGGGCAGCGCGCCCATGGTGCTGAGAACAGACTTTTGCAAAGGCAACCTGACCAGACAGAAGAGGGTCTTCAAAACCCGCAGTCAGTGAGAGAGCAAATGTGTGTGCCCCGCGCACGCAGAGCCCCTCCCGCTCCCGGGCCCCTCCCCTCCGCGCACACCTACCTGCAATGCCTTGCAACAGCCCGCAGACATTGAAGATACTTTTCTTCATGATGCTCTGCACACACATGGTGAAGACGGACACCAGGGCCACCATGCATAGGATGAAGATGCCCATGGCCAAGAAGATGGCAGTGGCCTGCCAGAAGCCGCTGGCGATCTCCCCGAAGTTCTCGGCGTAGGGCCCGCACAGCGTCTCCCGCGGGACGTGCTGCACCCCGGGGTTGCGGATGCAGCGCGCGTAGATGCCCAGGGTCGGGTGGTGGGGCTCCGGGGGGCCGCCCCGCTCCTCAGGGTCCGTGCCGGAGCCGGTGCCGCCGCCGCCGCCGCCGCGGGTCTTGGCTTTCCCAATGAGCCAGTCCGCGCTCATGAAGGCGATGAGCTCCGCGAACGCCACCACAATACTCAGGAGGGTCCAGAGCATGGAGCGGCAGGTGACAATGACATGACACATATTGCTGCTGTTGAAGGCGGGAAAAGGAGGGAGTCCACGGAGTTCACAACACAAAGCCGGCGGCCTCGGAGGCGGCGGCGCGGGGCGGCCTCGGCAGGAAGTCGCTGCTGGGGGGACTCACGCCCACAGCCCAGGGCTCCTTTCTCCGGGATCCTGGCGCCGCTCCTGGGCTGTCATGCTGCCATGTCGGCCTCCTCCGAGCTCAGCGGCCTCACCTAAGGGAGAAGAGGAGGCGGCGGTCAGCAGCGAGGCCCCGCCCCTGCAGCCGCAAACTTGCCGGTCGGTCCCCAAACCCAAGAGTGAGCGCCGGCTGGGCTGCGCCGCCCGGCTCCCCGCGCTGCCGCCCTTCCCTCCCGCAGCCTTCCCCTCCCTCCCGCACCCTCCCGCCCCGGCCGCCACCGGGTCCCCGCAGAACCTCCTGGAGCCGGTCCGCTCCCCAGCCAGCACGCGGCCCTTCTCCCGAGCTTGTGGTCTTTGTTTCCTCCCCAAACTCTCCCAACTGGCTGGTGGTTACCCTTATCTTCCCGCAGCGTGACAAAGGCAAGAGGCCCTGCCAGCCCCCCCGGGGGCGCCCGCTCCATCATCTTTTCAGAAAAAGTCAAACAGCACGGGGACCCAGACAGATCTAGACATACTGGCAGGGAACCGTCAGCAGACAAGACGGGCTGCGCTTTTCAAAGTGCACGGGTCTCTCTGAGAGCGGCTAAGTATGAAAAACTTGCACCAAAAGTTTGTGCCTAACAGCAGAGAGCAGCAACACCTAATTTTATTGCCTGGGAGTCAAATTACCAACAGGGACACGAGGGTTTGCTTCATGGGTAAAAAGAGAATAAAAGGCAATAATGCCATACAAAAAAAACCAACACACATTGTCACGCAAACTGTCTTTTTCATCCATTTTCTCAGAGGGTCGTTGTTAGATAAAATTAAACTATACTAATTAAAATGCAAGAAGAAAAGAAACTCAGGAGTCCATGACTTAGTCACTTGGAGAAATGATTTAAAAATGACCCTTGACTCTCATTCCCACCGAGTGGATTTGTTGACAACAGAAACTTGCCTGTCAAGAATGAACTGCCCCCATTCATCACATGCGCCTCTGCCCCAGCGTCCACTCACCCCAGGCCTGGAACTCAGCATGCCCATTGTGTCTGGGCTCACAAGGACTCATTCTCTTCCCAAGGACCAATGGCTTCATGACCAGAGGGCTTGGCTCTCACAGCTCAGCCCTCCCTCGGAGGAGCCTGAACCCTGACCGGGGCCCCGGTGCTCATGGGCAGCCCCCGTCTGCCCCTTCCCCAAGGTCAGGAAGCACCACACAGCTCACATCTGACATCCGGGCGCATCTGTTCTGAACAATTAGATCTTATTAACCCAGGCCATGTCAACTGCATAAGAACTACAAAGCCCCGTGGCATGTTGGCAGCTGGTAGGGCAGGGGAATAGGAAAGCGCAGTGCAGAAGTTTCTGCCTCATGCCCGCTGATGTCTGGTGAGGGATGACTACTTATCTCACAAAGCACAATGCATTTGAAAGTCCTCACACCACCGTAGTTATGCAATGCACTGTTTTAGGAAATTAGCGCAATACTAAAAACATAGGCACTTAATAATTGTCAGTGTGTGAGTGTGTGTGTGTGTGTGTGTGTGATGAGACTGTTCCGGGTCGTGTGTTCAAATGCCTGAGTTTCAGAATCCACCAGGTCTGGTTCCCAAGCCAGTTGCACCCCTGACTGACCATGCTCAGCTTCCTCATCTGCCAGATGGGGACAGTCAGAGAGCCCCGCCTCTTGACACTGTGGGGAGTAAACAAGAATCTATCAAAGCACCTTGCTCCGTGCATGGCACAGTAAGTGCTCAATAGACACCAACTCCTTCCCCTCAGGAAGTTTCCCACAACGGGGATGGCACCAGTCAGACAACAGTGTGACTGAGGGGCTGCTCAGCAGGTAACAGCGCCTGGCCACTGCACACCGAGAAAGAGTAAGCACAGGCTATTTAGAGATGAATGAGGTCACTCGTGTCTAAGCTTCCCTGGTGGGCTTTCCGGGCGGGGCACTGGTCTGACTTTCTGTTTTCCCCACTGCCTACCCCAGCTGCAAAATTCCACTGTGGAAAATCAATTAGCACCAGGCCAGAAGTATAACCCACTCCTACTCACTCGTTCCCGAATCCCCATCCCCAAATATCACCAAATAGAAACACCTTTGAAGAAAACTGAATACAACAGAGCCTTGGAGACTGTTTGTAATGAACTGGCCATTCTGGATGAGAACAAGAAAACAGGCCCACGACTCCCCAGAGTCTCCTCCACCCACCCACCAACCACACTCATCAACACTTGGAGCCAACAGGTGGAGCCCAGCCTGTTAGGAGAAAATGAGGCTTCTACACAAGTCTTCCCGTTTGATTAGAACCTCGATGTACCGTTCCACCAGCCCACCCCATCCCGGCCCCTCTTCTGTTCAATGGCAATTGCTCAGGAAATACAGGCCTCCGTGTATTTGTCCTTGGCAGGACCCCGGGACGCTGCTCCTACCTCTTAGGTGACGTGGATGCTAATTACTATGCCAAGTGACCACTGTCTTGGCCAGCGAGCTCTGCTTAAAGTCAGGAATGCAAGTAGGTTGCAACTCCTGACGAGAAAGGATATGAAACTTCAGAAGGGAAGAGGGCACTCACGGGCTTAGCAAAATGGTCTGTGCCAAACTGAAGGCCGGATTATTTAGACTGTGCTTAGTTTAGACTAGATAGTTCCCCATCCTTTTGTGCTAAAACAATCCACTGCACCAAATTCTTACATCCACGCCGGAGTGGCTGGACTGAGGCCATTATTCTTCTTTGATTGCTCTCCCCAGCTATATAGTTTGCTAATGACTGCTATCACAGAAAGAGCCCGGATAGCAGGGCTGACAAAAAATGGAGCATCCAAGGAAAGTCCTCAGGTTGGAGGAACAAGGGAAAACCTGGAAACGGCACAGCAAGGGCTCCAGAGGGGCCTGTGTTCTGGAAAGTGTCACACTCTGGCTGCGTCCCACGTGCGGGGATGCCTGCTGACACAGCATCCGTATCAAAGGGGAAGTAGACCCTTGCTAACCGCAAAGATTCGGGCACAGAAAGTCTTAGCATGGAACCCACTGCTATTCAATGCACTTCCTGCTTCTTCAAAACGCACTTAATAAAACCAGGCCCTCTCTGACATTCCCTATAAAGGTCTTCCACCCATGGGCTACCCAACCCATTCCCCTCCAGGACACCTGATGGCTAAGGGTAAATGGATGGCCCTTGGACGCTCAGAAAAGGATGCCATGATTGGCACAATGATCCTCTGAGTAAAGCTTTTAGCAAGTAATAAAGAAAACCACCAAACAAATGAGAATTCTGCAGAAACCTAGAGCCGTACTATAGTCCAGAAAACAGAATGGAGGAGTTGATAAATGGTTGGTCTGTGCGGCCAATTATACTGTGCTCTCCACAGAGCCCTGGTGGTTACAGAAGGGCGGAGGTGCTGCGCAGAGCCAGGCCCAGTCTGCCGTGTGCATCCTGGGATCCTATCTCTGGCAGCTTCGCTGTCAGTGAGAAGGGAAGAACGTGCGTGTGAGGAGAGCCACCAGTGCCACTGGCGAGGAGGTCCCTAAAGACCCTGGGAGCCAAGCTCCCACCCAGCTAGAAAGGCAGAGGCAGACCGAATGCACGGCAAGCAAAGCTGCCCCAGAAACCACACCGCCCACTGGCGGCAGCAGCCAGGCCCACCAACAAGGCCTCGGCAGACACAGTTCTGAAGAACACGACCTTGCTTGCTCACCTGGGTCCGGTTTTCAAGTTTATTATGAAAATTTGCAACACAGACATAAGCTACAAAGAACCATGAACATCCAGACTGGTGTTAGCATGTTGCCATGCGTGCTCTGTCACTGTGGTATACACACTCACCAGCACTCACACACACACACACACACACACACACACACACACACTCACTTCTTTTCTGGACTGTTTGAAAATGAGTTGCAGATGTCTTGACACTTCACCTCTAAGTACTTTAGCATACACCTCCTAAAAATAAGGACATTCTCCTACGTAACCACAATAAAATTAACACGCCCAAGAAAACTAACAATAACCCCTTATAGTCAAAGCATAGGCCACATTCAAATTTCTCTACTCTGCCCCATTTTCACAGCTGTTTTCTTAAAACCATGACTCAATCAAAGCTCATGCACTGCATTTGGTTATGTGTGTCTTTAGTTTCTTTTAGTCAAGAATGGGCCTTCCAACACTAATATTTCCCTCCCTGCCCATGTTCCCCCAATACTTTTTTTAAGCTACCGGGCCAGCTGCCTTACAGAATACCCAACTGTCTAGATTTGTCTATTTCCTCACGAGGCCACGTAAGATTGCTCTCTATCCTGTTTTATAGAAACTGGAGGTTAAATCCAAAGGCTAGTTTAGATTCAGCTTCAATATTTTGGGGAGAATCCTTGGCAGGTAATGCTGTATGATTCCTGCTGTGTCATATCTGGGAGGAAAACGACTGGGGCTACACTTCCGAATCAGAATAATTTTACAAATGCATTCATATACATGGATGTGTATCCCTCTCTCTGTCTACCTAGAGCACATGTGTCAAACACAAGGCCCGCGGGCCAAATCCGCCCCACCAGGCCTTGCAATGTGGCCCGCACCGCGCTGTCATCACTGCACTCCGCTGCGTTTCCATCACAATGACAGTTTATGACTGTTCAGTAAACCATTCGGCCCGCGATTTAGGCTGGATTTTAGATTTTGGCCCCTTCTCTGATTGAGTTCGACACCCCTAACCTAGAGAGAACATGCAAAGGTCCTCTCTGGTCCTAGAGAACGCGGATTATTGTGCGGAAGTGGCAGAAGGCAGACCTGGGCAGGTTCGGTGTTTTGCAGGCTCCTTGGATGGATTCTGATGCCCAGGTTGAGAGGCACTGTCCTGAGAGATGCCATTCCAGAAGCTGAAGCAGTCCTTTTCCATAGGACTTGCATTTCTAAGAAATGTTTGCTGTGTTTCCTTGAAATGGAACTACATTTTCTATGTAGCTTATAAAAACACAGGAAGATCTGCAGATAGAGGTGAGGGGGGAGGGGAGCTAAGGAGAACAGCATAGCTGTTCTCGATGAGGAGCGATCTGTGTGACCAGAAGGAAGGGCCCTCCTCTCTCTAACTGCAGAGCCTTCCTGGGCTGGTGTGGCTCAGTGGTTGAGTGTTGACTTTTGAACCAAGAGGTTATGGATGGATTCCCTGGTCAGAACACATGTCTGGATTGTGGGCTCAATCCCCAGTGTAGGGTGTGCAGGAGGCAGCCTGTCAATGATTCTCATCATTGATGTTTCTCTCTCTCTCTCTCTCTCTCTCTCTCTCTCTCTCTCTCTCTCTCTCTCTCTCTCTCTCTCTCTCTCTCTCTCTCTCTCTCTCTCTCTCTCTCTCTCTTTTTCTCTCTCTCCCTCTCCCTTCTTCTCTGAAATCAAGAAAAATATATTTCAAAATAAAAGAATAAAAATAAAAAGGACCAACCTGAGCTGCCGATGCTTCTCTCCTGCCTCGCTCTCTGCCCACCGCTCAGCCAAGCAGAGGGAGCATTTGGCAGTGGACCAAGGCATGCTGGGAAAGGGCACTGAGCAGTGTGAGGTGGGGTGGCAGTGTTTTAAGAGCTTTGTCAACAGGCCTGGGATAAAATCTCCACTTTGCCATTAAACAGCTATATGTCTTTTATATTTAATCTCTGCCAGCCTCAGTTTCCTCATCTGCAAAATAAGGCTAAAACAGCATCTTCCTCACGAGACTACCATGGGGATGAAGAGACAGTGTACCATATGTAAAATAATCAGCAAGGCTTCCAATTCACTGTGCTCCACATAGCTCCGCTGTTATCAATCATTACCACGTGATTTGCTTCAAGTATTTGTGATTCAGTGAGTACTCAAAAATGGTAACTCCTATTATTACTTTTTTTAATGGAGAATTGTTTTCTTTGTTGAGAAACTGAAGACTTGGGTACATCAAAATAAAACCAATTTGGGAGGGGGGGAGAGAGGGGAGGAATCAAAACCCACACTGGGGGCGAGGGGGAGGGGGAGTTAACACTGTCTGGACCATATCAGAACCCAGAGACTATATTCTTTAAATTGAAAAACCCTCGGTGCTTCATAATGGACCTTTGATACAAAATGATCTATTAAATTTTCAGTTTGTGGTTCCTGGTGTTGAGGTCCACAGGACAAGCTAGGAAGCCTTCAAACCTTGAGCTGAATTCCATGAGGGTGATTGGCCTAAGAGGTAGCGCCCACCTTCTGGGCAGCTTCCTGCTTGGCATGATGAGCCTGCAGACCCGCCACAGCTTCACCCCCCGGAGCGGGGAGACTCGGGGACTCCGGCACGTGCAGCATTCAGAGCTGTCCATCTCTAGACGCCTTCCCTCGTCTCTCCAGCCAGGTGCGCATGCCTGGTTTGGGTGAGTGGAAACAAACGGCCTTCCAGCATCTGCTTCTGTACCTGGCGGGGTGCTGCGGCCAGCATGGGGGCGGCCAGGGCTCCTGCCTGCACATGGACCGAGGGCTGGGTGCCTGCAGAGGCAACATGGCCTCGTCTGCAGCTTCTCGGGTGAACAAAGGCATAATCCTTAGAGCCGTTCTCATCACACACCCCCTTGCGGGGCAGAATGTCTCCAAAACCAGAAACAGCCTCATCACGTGCCTCGTTACCTATGGATTTATCCGGGTACTTGATGACGATGGTTCCCACACCAGATTTTCTCAAACGGGGACCCCTCTGAGGCCACATGATGCGGACTGGCTTTCCTTTAATCACATCAGAGCTCAGTCTCCAGGGCCCATCAGCCTCAGCGGCTGCTGGAAACTGACCCGGGCCCAGCCTGGGGGGGGGGCGGGTGATCCTATCGCGGCTGACCCGCAGGGACAGTGCGGCCCGCAGGGCTGAGCCCTTCGCACGGCCTCGGTGACGTCCACACGCAGGTGAGCGCCTCCCCCGGTGACGTCCGTGTGCGGTCACCCACGCACAGGGAGGCCGTGGGGCAGCTGCTGGTGGCAGGTCCATCTCCCTGCCCCACCACCCCACGCCCTGCCAGGACGTTTGATAGGGTCCACACAGGACAATGGGGGCTCCTCCCGGAGCAGGGCTCTCCCGAGGTGGCAGAACTGGCACAGGTCAGCTGCAGGAGGCGCCCAGGAGACCGCAGGGCCGCCGATGAGGGGCTCTCCAAACATCACGGCCCTCCCCGGGAGTTTGCAACGCTCAGCTGTCCTGGTCTGAAGCTCCAAATTTCCAAAGTAAATTTATTAAAACGGGGCCTTCCCTCCAAATTACAAAAATTCCTAAAGAGAAAAAAAAAAAAAAATGGTACCCCCAGGGCCTCTGAGATACAGGTTTCCCTTTAAATATAGGCCTCAGGCTCCTGGTGGTTAAAGGGTTTAAGGTTACAGCCGTCAGAAGAGGGGTGCAAATATTTGTTGGTGTTACGGGAGGGAGGGCAGGCGGGGGTGTGTGTGTGGACATGGCAGCTCACCACCCACAGGACCCACAGACGGGACCCCGGGTGCGGTGGGGGCAGGCCTGAAGCTGCAAAGATGACTTTCCGGAGAAGGATTCACCTTTCCTCCCTCTCTCCCTCCCTCCCTCCTTCCCTCCCTCCTTCCCTCCCTCCCTTCCTTCCTAAAGATTTTTAAGTGTTTTCAGTTTTGTTTTGTTTTTAATCTTTTTTATCTCTCTTTCTTTAGGCTACTGAGCCCAAAAAGTGGCCGAGGCTGCGGCGACCCAGGGCAGGGAGAGACAGGACTATTATTATTAACGATAACGTTGCTCATGGACCCACGTGGTCCAAACAACCCGTGTGCTGCTCCTCCCTCACTGGCAGTTTCTCGGCGGATACCTGTTTTCCTGATCTCCATCTCCTCGGACATCCCGTGTCTTCTGGGGGCCCGGAGGGGAGAAGGTGTGCTCTCACCTCCCCACGACGGAGAGCCCTGAGTGCTGCTGCTCCCGGTGTGGTCCCGACCACCCGCCTCCTGGGGCGCCTAGGCCACCTGCTCAAAAAACCGTACATTCTTGGTGCCCCTCCCCACACACACTGAATCAAACTTCCTGGAGGTGTTGCCAGAAGCTGCATTTTTTACAAGCCCCTCCTCCCCCCCAAGAGTCCAGACATCAGGAGGAAGGAGGCCTCCGGAGCCCTGAGGTCAGGAGCCCTGAGGCTGGCCTGTGCTTGTGCGGGGGAGGGAGAGACCGGAGAGAAGAGGCAGGGAAGCGTGGCCCAGCCCCGCAGGACAGAGCCGGCCACCTGTCCT